TCCTTGGAGTTTTATTATTATTATTTATTAAATTTGGTAGTCGCTTTATCTCTCCCAAAGCAACGTGCAACTAAACAAGTTGGACTTCCAGCCTCAACCCTTGAAGAAAGGTTTCACAGTTTTGACAGGTTTGCTATCCAGGAAAGCCTTTTCTCAAGGGGGAAGCTGAAGGCCACTACCCATGTGTCCACTCTGCTTTCTAAAAAGCAACCATGTCTCTTTCGCTGCAGCACTGCTGGAGCGAGGTGATGAATTCACAGCTGGACTGAGTGCAATGATTTTTATTTATTTTAAAATAATCATAAATAGAAACGATTATTTTAGCACTTTCTAAACATTTTTGCTAACTGCTCTGACAAGTAGAGAAATGCCAGGAGAGGCTTTTCCCCCCAACCAAAGTGAGAAAAAAAATGTTGTGTTCTTTAAAAACAACAGCCCTCAGTGCCTACTTTAGATGCTAAACTAAGCAGCAGCAAAGCAGAGGATGGAGGAGAACTCTGTTATATATTTAAAAAATATTTATGTGCCACTCAGTAGCAAAATCCTTTGGGGGGGACTGACAACTTGGATAAAAACAGTAAAATACAGTTGTAAATAATGAAATGCAGCCGTGAATGAAGTTAAATAGATTTCAGGTTTAACAATTAGGAGCTCGAAAAGGCTGAAGGCAATTGCAAAGTTCTTCATTGTGGGATGAAAAAGACTTCCAAATGGCACAAAACAGGATCTCCAAGAAGAACGATCCATGGCTCTGGTGCCACCACTGACATGGTCCTTTCCCTGGTAGCCACCCACTGTCTCTCCTATCATCATCACCATTGAATTCTTCATGGTTTACTGGAAGCAAGAAGAACTACCAACATTAGGAGAATGGAGGATGAAATTGATGGACTACGCAGAATTAGACAAGCTAACAGGAAGGATCCGAGACCGGCGGGACCAGAGACTGGACCGAAGACTGGACTAAATTTACTGAGTATTTGAAAAGTATTTGTGATGATCAGATTACGTTTGTAGGACTACAAGAAGTTCTGTGAGGAGTAATTTAAGAAATATTGTAAAAATGGAAAGGGAGAAATGATTTGCTAGAAAATGTAAAGGCAATATTAAGTTAAGAATTGCAGGAGAAATAATCAAGACGGAAGACTATCAGAGATGCTGAAGGAAGTCCAAACAAGGACATATGTATAATAATTTGTGTGGTATGTCTTAAAATTTTTTGTATGCTAACAATTAATAAAAAATATTATTTTTTTAAAAAAAGAATTATTCATGGTTTACTCCCAAAGCCTTTCTCATGAATGAGTATAGCCAAAGATGAAGCTCTGGGGGAACATGATTGACTCTCCTGTCCCACTTAACTGTCTTGCAGGTCCATTCTGGACTACCTAAAGTTTCTGCACCATTTTCAAAGGTGATTCTCCAGTTAAGTCCTACTCAGTGTAGACCCGTTGAAATTAATGGACTTAAACTGGTTGCAGTCTGTTGTAAATTTCAATGGGTCTACTCTGAGTAGGGCTACATTGGATACAACCCCATGTTATCGAATCATAGAACTGTCGAGTTGGAAGGGACCCTGAGGGTCATCCAGTCTGGTCTCTTGCAATTAAGGAATCTTCCTGATCATCATTCTTCCCAAGCTTTCGAGTACATTCCTCATCACTTTTCTAACAGCAAAAAGTGGTATGCATGTGTTTTAAGCATTTTCTAGTGTGCTAGAGCAACAAAGGACTTTCATTTACTTTAATTGTACATACAGTGGAACCTCGGTTCCTGAATGGCTCCATTGTCATACATTTAATAATAATAATAATAATAATAATAATAATAATAATAATAATATAATAATTTATTTATACCCTGCCCATCTGTCTGAGTTTCCCCAGCCACTCTGGGTGGCTCCCAATCAAGTGTTAAAAACAGTACAGCGCTAAATATTAAAAACTTCCCTGAACAGGGCTGCCTTCAGATATCTTTTAAAGATAGGATAGCTGCTTATTTCCTTCACATCTGAAGGGAGGGTGTTCCACAGGGTGGGTGCCACTACTGAGAAGACCCTCTGTCTGGGTCCCTGTAACCTCACTTCTCGCAATGAGGGAACCGCCAGAAGGCCCTCGGCGCTGGATCACAGTTTAGGGCTTTAAAGGTCAGCACCAACACCAGAATTGTGCTTGGAAATGTACTGGGAACCAATGCAGATCTCTCAGAATCGGTGTTATGTGGTCCCGGTGGCCAGTCTCAGTCACATTTCAGTTCCTGAATGCTGAAACCCCAGAAGTAAATGCTTCCATTTTTTAACGTTTTTTGGAACCTGAACATGAGAGGCAGCTTCCTCTGAGTGCAAGAAGCTCTTGCAACCAATGGGAAGCCGTGCCTCGGTTTTTGAATTGGCTTCCGGAATGGATTTCATTCAAGAACCGAGGTACCACTATATGTGCTTTGTGCCTTTCCACAAAACACTGATAGTCTAGCTGTGGCCTGAGACTCTCCAAACATCAGGTTCTACATTTCTGCCTTCTGAATTGTTTATTCTAATGAAATTTTTTCTCCCTTCCCACATTGCAGCTTTGGATATTGCAAAGCGCATTTAAGCAAGGGATTGCGTAGACAAATTATTAATTACTGCTTCTTAACTTGCATTAATTGGAGCTGTTTATTATTAGCCTTTCTTTGTCTAACTGTTGATATACACCTCCTGAAGATTGTTAGAGAGGAGGGGAAAAAAGGAGTGTTGTTTTCGGAAGCCTTGCAGTCTAGCCCAGTATGCATGCACTGTGAAACACCACCCATTCTCCCCCCCAAAAAGAACCAGCACAAGAGGAGATGATAACCTTTCTATAGCATTTGGAGAAACATGCAATCATCCAGTTGGGGGAAATCAGCAGTCAATGACAGCCTTTCATTTTGCCAGCTTGTCAGTCAATTGACTATTAGTGGATCAAATCTTGCAAAGTGCAACATTCCATAAACCCAGTATTTTGGGTGGGTGGGAAAACTTCAGAGGGGCAATTTTGTGAGGCTGAAAGCAGATGGTATCTCACCAGAAGTAAAGAGCCCCTGTGAATTCCAGGCCCAAACTTAATTTGGGGAGGGGGGTATTGCATTATGAGTCTACTATTGAAGTAAAAGTAGCAAAAAACCACAGCTAAAAAGTTCAGATCATATATATGACTGACACCCTTCTTTTGAAATTAAACCAATGTCCAGACTTAAGCACTCAAAAGCTTTACTTGCAGAAACTTATAGTTATAGATGAATTGAAACATAGTATTTACATTCATATGCTTGTCTAAGCCTGTGCTCACAGTGTCTTCTTCTAACTTCCATACAACTGTATTTTCCTCTCTTTCTAGAGCTCAGCACTCAGCCTTCTATATCTCAATTAGGCCATGAGAGATTTCCACTTTTACCTTCTCCTGCAGCTTTTCTCTCTTTCTTTCCAGAAGAGAAGAAGCACTCCAACACTCTATTCAACCTAGCAGTGTTCACAGTGGATTCTAAAACAAAGTCACCTTGCTTCACATAAAATAGAATCTCACCTTCACCAGATACCTCCCATGTGACCAATGTTAGCCAATCACATGAGAACTACTAGAGAAGTCTCTAGAATTCAGTTGCCAACCAATCAAATTTAAACACATAGTAATGCATACAAGCATTTGCAATTTCAGTGAATTAAATTGCTACACTTAACATCTAGTACTTGGCATTGTGAGTGTTGTGTTGTGTTGTGTTGTGTTGTTGCTGACAGTACTGAAACTCAGAAACTCGCATGTTCTCCTATTCCACTCTTACCTCTCCAGCACTGAGTATGTCTGGTAGTACAAAGTGTGGCATGTGACATTGCCACAAATGAATTGTCCTGTCCTTATTCCATTGCAATGTCATGCAGTGGTTGCAGTGATGGCCAAACCTGGCCTTCCAGCTGTTGTTGGACTACAACTCCCATCATCCCTAGTTAACAGGACCAGTGGTCAGGGATGATAGGAACTGTAGTCCCAAAACAGCTGGAGGGTCAAGTTTGGCCATCACTGTTAGAGTGTTGGACTATGACCAGGGAGACCAGGGTTCAAATTTCTATTTAGCCATGAGTTTCACTGGGTCTAAGCTACCTCATAGGGTTCTTGTCAAGATTGAATGGAGGTAGGGCAAAGGAACCATGGATGCTGTCTTGAGTTTTTTTGAGGAAAGGCAGGATATAAATGTCAAAAGTAATAAAACTATAATTGGCTGCTGTTTGTAGGGGCAGGGGTACTCAGAAAGCAGTGATGTCATATATCTGAAAGTGCTTTTGAAATTCTCCTCCAAATGTCTCCCTGGATTTCCATCTCTTGGTGATAACAAACATACCTCCAACATTCCTTTGATGAAAATAGGGGTGTCCTATTCAATAATAATAATAATAATAATAATAATAACAATTTTTATTATTTATACCCTGTTCATCTGACTGCGTTGCCAGGGCCACACTGGGCAGCTTCTAACACACACACAATAAAACAGTAAACATTACAGACTGCGCTACAGAGGGCTGCGTACAGATGTCTTCTAAAGATTGTATAGTTACTTATCTCCTTGGCTTGAGTCGCATACCTCCATACCCTCCATTTCTCTGATGGAAATAGGGACGCCCTGTCTGAAATCCTGCAAGTTAGTGTAAACACTACTGAACTAGAAAAACACAATGGTCTGACTCAGTATAAAGGCAGCTACCCATATTCCTGATTTCTGGCTTGCCCCATGGATTCTAGTTTAGCTCTGATTTATGCCTGTGGGAGAACCCCAAAACCATGGCACCTCAGAATTCAAACGGAATCCGTTCCAGAAGTCCGTTCAACTTCTAAAACGTTAGGAAACCAAGCCATGGCTTCTGATTGGCTGCAGGAGCTTCGGAAGCCGCAGAAGCCGTGGACGTTGAGTCGGACGTTCAGGTTCCAAAGAATGTTCGCAAACCAGAACACTCACTTAGCGTTTGGGAGCCAAAATGTTTGACTTGTGAGGCATTCGACTTCTGAGGTATGACTGTACATGGATATTTCTTACAAATTTGTTTACCTAGCTGTGCATAGCTGATGTTGCCTTTTCCTTCACTTTAAAAAACAGGCCTCAGACATTTAGCATTTCTTGCTTGGGGTCTGCTCCCCCCTTGATTGTTTTTCGTGGCTCTTTTCTGAACCTTTTCAAGCTCTGTAATGTCCTTTTTGAGATGGGGCCCAAACACCAACCAAGACTTAACAACCCCTTTCCTTCCTTTGAGCTCATTTCAGCTCTCAAACCCTCAGAACTGTGGGTTACTTTTTGAAGTTTGCTTGAGATGCAGATTTATGCAACCTCTCTTGATGCTGAGGGAAGAGCAGGATGGCTTTCTCCGTAGGTTCTCAGCTTCCTGGCTCCCTTTTCATGCATGGTATTTATATTTTCACCGTATTTTCTACTTTCTCTGTAAATGTAAACTGCTGAGTTTTATGTTGGTGAGATGTCTGCAAAGGAAGGAGACTAACAGGAAAATGAAACAACAACAAAAAACCAATCAAAAATAAAAATCAATACAAAGGTTTTGATGAGTTCAACAATTAGAAATGGGGGGAGAAATTTACTGTGCCAGGACTGGAGAACCTCAGGTATCAGGCTCCCAGGGGTGGCCCATCCCATTTTGCAGACTGAGGCAAAAAGAGAAGCGCTGTCCTCCTCCACTGAAGGCTCACTTTACTGAGGTTGTGCAGCAGTGGCTTCCAGTGAGATCTCACAGAAATCTCACTGGAAGCCACTGCTGTGTAACCCTGCTGGCAGCAAGGGCAGGCAAGATACCCACAGGGCACTGCCCCAAAGGATTCTGTCATCTGAGGAAGGCTGCTTCACCCTGCCTCATGGATGGGCTGGCCCTGCAGGCCCTCATCCAAAATCACAATGGCAGCTGCTGTTACTGGAGAGCCAGTTGTTGCTATTGTTGTTGAGAACCCATGAATGGCCCTTCTTGATCAGGCTGGGGCCTATCAAGTCTAGCATCTTGTTCTCACAGTGGCCAGTCAGATGTCTATGGGAAGCCCTCAAGAACGACCTGAGCACACCCTCCCTTCCTGTGGTTTCCAGCAACAGGTCTTCAGAAGCATTTCTGTCTCTGACTGTCAAGTCTGAGCAGAGCCATTGTGGCTAATCCTCTGTGAATTTGTCCAATCCTCTTTTAAAATTATCCATATTGGTAGCCATCACTGCTTCTTGTGGGAGTGAATGCCATGATTTAGCTCTGTGCTTCAATGAAGATCAGACCTGTTGTTCTTGTTGCTGATCCTGCTAACCCTAAGAAGTATATGTATATGTTCACATGGGCAGGAAGACTGAGATGGCACCCCAGTCCAGACTCGTCAGAGCGCTTGCCAGCCCAGTGTACAATGCTGTGGCCGACAATCCAAATGTGCACAGCTGCTTCTATGAAAAAAGGAAATAACAGACAGGCATCAGCACAGACATCGTTGGTGACACTTCCTGATGTAACCCTTGTCAGCATCAGACTTCCAATGACCCATATTCACAATCCTGTCTACTGACAGGCCCCCAGTGTGCAGCCTTTGCAACAGCCCTATTCGGAAGGAATGAGGCGTGTTCAGCGGTAGGCAAGCCGCAGGCCATAATAACTGGTGCACGACGTAAGCACATTGATGCCTGGCTAACGGGAACCCATTTTCATGCACTAGGAGCGGGCCACCCCCCAGGGGAATGAAAAGCCAAATATTTCTGGTATCCATAACCAGGCAAGGGCCCTCCTCACCTGTGACGGGAAGCCTGATGGTGGCACTCCTGCCCACTAGGTCTGTTTTAGAGTTCCCAACTCTAATGACAAGCTCCAAAGCAGATAAGGAAAAGTCCTGAAGCAATAAGCCTCCAGACTCTCAGCCCCGTGCTGGCTCCAACACAATTTTCCCAACCCTTAGTGCACCAAAAATGCAATGGAATACTGAAAGGAGTCTCGCCTTGATCTTTAACCAGCAGACAAGTTATAACTTGTTGCAGATACTTCATAGGTAAAAATTGACCGACTTCCTGCCCACTGTCATATGAGGTTGGAGCCTGTTCCCACCTACCAAGGCCCTGCGCACGACAGACTTTATACAAGGGTCTCTGAAAATTAAAGCTTCACTATAACAGACATTGCAGCGGACTGAATTCTGATAGTTTTAACAGCACATCCAATCTGCAGCAGGTGGACCAAATATTGCAGGATCTGCTAGAGGATGGGGGCCAGTTCTTCTGAATGGCCGAGGACTGCCAACTTAAGGCTAAGAAATCCATCCAGGCCTTCTGATAAGAGCTAAAAGCAGAAGGGGAAATGGAAGCTGCTGCTCTCTGTAATTGACAACTAATTATTGTCAAAGTGCCACAGGTGGTCCGGAAAAGTCTGGCAGTAGCTGAGTGTCTGGAGCCCAGGATCTGAAGCGCTCCATCTGAAAATGGGATAGAGTGTCAGCAACATCATTAAACGATCCCGTAATCAGGAGAGCAGAAAACACAATATTAAACCTTAAGCAGCACAGCTCGAAGCGTGAGTGGAGGGGCGGAGACTCTGCTGGAGTGTGAGGACTGTTTTGCCAAGACGCTCACCACTGCCTGGTTATCAGACCAAAAGCAGATCCGATGGTCACTGAACTCCTCGGGCCACATGTGAACTGCTACTACAATGGGGAAAACTCAAGAAAAGTTAGGTCACATGATTGCTTCACCACACCGGGCTTGAGGCCATGGTTATGCACACCAGCAGCCCCTGAAATAAAAAAACCAAAGGGCAAAGATCCAGCAGCATCAGCATGAACCTGAAAATCCCTGTGCAGGTTCAAGGTATCCTGCTATGGCGAACTACTATTGCATTCATTTGGAATTGCAACCATCGCATGAGATCTGCCTTCACCTCACTTGGTAAGCCTATATGAAGGTAAGGGGACCTCAGGCCGCAGGCAGCCTGGCCTAGCGGGAATGGAAGGGGTGGCCTGGGGCAACACCCTGCAAGCAAGATTAATTAAGTGACCCAGCAAGATCGGATCTGATGAAGCATCACTTGCTTCAGAGGAAGTATTACAAAATAACTTCCTTCAGGGCAGACAGCTTCTCCATAGGCAAGTGGTAAGGTAAAGGTACCCCTGCCCGTACGGGCCAGTCTTGCCAGACTCTAGGGTTGTGCGCTCATCTCACTCTATAGGCCGGGAGCCAGCGCTGTCCGCAGACACTTCCGGGTCACGTGGCCAGCGTGATAAGCTGCATCTGGTGAGCCAGAGCAGCACATGGAACGCCGTTTACCTTCCCGCTGGTAAGCAGTCCCTATTTATCTACTTGCACCCGGAGGTGCTTTCGAACTGCTAGGTTGGCAGGCGCTGGGACCGAACAATGGGAGCGCACCCCGCCGCAGGGATTTGAACCGCCGACCATGCGATCGGCAAGTCCTAGGCGCTGAGGTTTTACCCACAGCGCCACCCGCGTCCCTATAGGCAAGTGGTAAGTTTTAGCAATGATATCCATCTGGATCCCTAAATAAATGTGATTGGCTTGCCCTGCCAGGCTAAAGGCCGGTGTACATGATGATGAAGGGACCCCGGGCCATGAGACAACCTGGCCAAGCAGGAACGGAATGGGCAGCCTGGGGCAACCACCCTGCATGCAAAATTTTACTGCCCTAGCAAATGATAGGATCTGACAAGGCAACACTTGCTTCAGAGGAAGTATAACAAGAATAACTTCCTTCAAGGCAAACAGCTTCACCACAGCAAGCAGATGTTTGAGCAACAATATCAAGCTAACCCCCAAATACATTAAAAGGGGCAGTAGGACGCACTGTCCTATCCACTGCCAACAGAACACCCAGCTCCCAGAGGGAACAAAGGGTGTCCAGAAAGCCTACGAAGAGGCTGGTGTCACATGAACCAGCCAGTAAAACAATCCAAATAATGGTACCCCGAATTAAATGAGTCTTGACTCGCACTGTTCAATCCAGAAAGGCACTAAAGGACTTGAATGCTGCACAGTCTATTGCGCAACCCATCGGCATCGCCTTATCAATATAAGGAGCTCCATCCAAATTAAAGCCCAACCACTTAAAATCTTGAGGATGAGCCGGCAGCAGCCTAACAGCCGAATGAATATCGCATATTGCCAACAAGGCACCTCTTCCAATTTGTTGGTAAGCTCAACCACCTGATCCAGAGACGCGTATTTCACGGAACAATTCCGGAAGGATAGCGTCATTCACTGAGGTGCCTTTGGGATGCGATAAATAAGGATCAGATGGAATTATATGGGGCTTTCTTAGGGACAATCCCCGATGGGGATAAATGAAGATCAGGAATAGAAGGAGGATCAAAGGTGATCCCACCATACATCTCAATGCAAGCTGCTTCCTAACCTTCTTTCAGGCTACCTCAGGTAGCTCTCTAACTGACTTTTGATTTGCTGTATTCCGAGCCACTAGCTGAAGAGCCAGAGGAATCCTAAACCTTGAGAAAACCCTTCCCATAAGCACAAAGCTGCGATCCAAGCAAGCTGTGGGAATGATGGCAGCCCTGCGTCTAACATTCTAAAATACAGTAAGGCATCAGACTTTAAAAGCTTCCCTAAACAGGGCTGCCTTCAGATGTCTTCTAGAAGTTTAGGTAGCTGACATCTGGTGGAGGGTGTTCCACAGGATGGGTGCCACCACCGAGAAGGCCCTCCGCCTGGCACCCTGTAATTTGCTTCTCACAGTGAGGGAACCACCAGAAAGCCCTTGGTGCTGGACCTCAGTGTCCAGGTAGAACGATGGGGGAGCATGCAGCTGTCCCATACAGGGACCAATCCTGCAACCTAGACATTACCAGCACCACACGCTGACCAGCTGAGCTATCCAAGAAGATCCTTAAAGACCTGGGACAGCCTCACCCTGACCCCCGTAGAGGTCCAAGGTGATGTATGAATCATCATCAGAGCCCAGGGATGATGTACCTGCGCAAGTAGTCCGCATGTCCCCATCCCTGCGAGGAAGTGTAAGCATCATCCCTGCTCCTCTTTGCCCTCCTCCTGGATTGCCGCCTCCGAAGAGCTTCCTTCTGGAAGAAGGCACCTGGGGCATCAGCAAGTCATCCTCTGCAGGAGAGGCAAGCTCTGGATGCATCTGCAAAGGCCCTGCCATAGTCTGCAAAAAACTAAACAATGTGAGGAACCGGTGAAACCAATGCTTCATGCACCACTTGGGGACGCTATTCAGGCCAGAATCACTGCCAGAGACCATCGAATTCTAGGGCAAAGCGAGCAAAGCCTTAGGATCACCTGCTAGCCCAGACATAAATAATTCCAATGAAGTAACACTCGAGGCAGCCCACCGCCTGACCCCCTTCTTTCCCCCCCTTTTCTTCCTTTTTTTTGGGGGGGGGGGAGCAATGATATCACAAATGGGCCCAACTACCCAGCAACAGAATACAGTGGTGCCTCGCAAGACGAAATTAATTCGTTCCGCGAGTTTTTTCGTCTTGCGATTTTTTTCGTCTTGCAAAGCACGGTGTTGGAAAAGTTTTGGAAAAGCTTCAAAAATCACCAAAGTCTTCAAAAACCTCAAAAAAGGCTACCACACCGCGTGCTATGAGTTGCTCCTCGAAGTCAAGTCGCAACTGTCTTAACAGTTTTAAGAAAAGGAAACAATCTTGCAAGACGTTTCCGTCTTGCGAAGCAAGCCCATAGGGAAAATCGTCTTGCGAAGCAACTCAAAAAACCAAAAACCCTTTTGTTTTGCGAGTTTTCCGTCTTGCGAGGCATTCGTCTTGCGAGGTACCACTGTAGTCCAAAAGGAGCAGTTTGTTTTGTTTTGTTATAACAATGGCTAAGAGGGGGAAATGAAACCTGTCTCCCAGGACCTAGTCCTGTACTCTAGCCACTAAGCCACAATTTGTCTCTAAAATGGTGGTAGTCACTATCAGGGCAAAACAAACTTGAAAATAAACTTGTTAAGAAACAGCATAGTTAAAGAGCATACACAAAGTGCTCATAGTCATTGGAGGCACAGAGACACTGGCTCCACTCTGTCTGCCCCAAATATACAATAGCAACTGAGCCTGCAAGCAAAAGATACATTCTTAGAGAGAGAATGAGTCACATGTCACAGAGACTTAACAATTTACTGCTAACTGTAGCAGGCTTAGGCCTGAATGTAGGCGTCATTGCTTCTGCTCTTAAGAAACTTTGACTCATTGCAATATTAAAGGAAGCTAAAAATGGTGCTCCTGCCCAAGGCTAGATTAAAATTTGGCCAACAGCGCTGCACACACCTAAAATAAAGCCACCTTTGGGGATGCTATAAACGAAAGTGATTCCAGCTAAGCTGGGAACAGTCCTGACTAGCCCCACAATTAACAAACAGGCAAAATGAGGGAAACCTTTCTGCAAAAGAAAGCCCCTACTGGGGGCTCTCTCCCTATTGGGAAAGGCAAGCCAAGGAGGATTGTGCACAAGCAACGCTCACAGGTACAGGGAGAATCTTCCCACAGGGCAGGGTAAGAGGTGGGGTGGGAAATCAACCAGGAAAAGAAAAGGGGTGGAATTAAATTAATTAAGGGACTAGAGAGGATAAAGAGAAGGGGGAAATAAAGAAATGTAACCAGACAATGAGAAGATCACTCCACTGTCCTCCAGATGGTCCAAGTGCTCCAGGTGATCCTAAGTAAGCAGCGAAAAGAGGAAGTTCTTCACTGCGAGCATTGTATTTAACAAATAGGGCTGTCAATCAGCAAATGGCAACATCTAGATTTCCCCAGTAACAGCCCGCCCCTGCTTAAAGGATGGCCAAACCATTTGCCTAGTAACAGTGAGGTGTCTTGTCAGCCCCGCCCGCAACCTGTGCTCTCCATGAGGGAGAACACACTTTGTGGGAGGGATGGTGGGGTTTAAGTTGAATAAAGAATAACAAATAATTGTGGTTCCCAGTGTTATTTTTCTAGAAGGAGAGGTGCTGGAACTCACCATGAACGCCTGCTTTGTTCTCTTACAATGGCAATGGCACCCACCTGAGAGGTGCCGGAACTCAGTTCCCGTGAGTTCTAGCTGATAAAAAGCCCTGTGGTTGTTGATGTTATCATTTATTACATTTCTTTCTTGCCCTTCACCATGAGGTTCCAGTATGAGTCACAACAATTTTAAAATACAATACCATATTGGCCCGAATATAAGCTGCAGCTGAATATAAGCCGCACCTTTTAAATGGGGGAGGGGGCACCTTTCTTCTATTTTTGTGCATACATAACTCTAGCTGCTGTCTTTACAGGTATAAACGGATTAAACATCTTTTTTTTAAAAAAAACCCAACAATATTTAAATAAGTTAAAACAAATTACAGTCAGGAAAATAGCACGGGATGTGTCAAAGGTGAGGGTAAAGAGGTGCTTCTTCAGCACAGGGCAAAAACTATACAATGATGATGCCAGATCCCATACCCTCCAACAATTCTCCGAT